ATATGACGACGTATAAGTTGAATTAATTAGGATGATCTTTAGGAAAGCAGTATGGCGGGTCTATCATTTAGTTTTAGTCTAGAGGAAGTTGTCATATTAGCAAGAGGTCTAGCCTTGCCGTGTTTCTCTCAATGACCTAGCTATGTGTGCTAACGTTCAACTTATCTGGGTTCCTGGTCATAGGGATATTGCGGGTAACTGCAGGGCGGACGAGCTTGCCAAGACGGGGGCTCTTCTCCCTGATATTCATCTATTAGAAATTGGTGTTCCACTTGCAACAGTTAAACTGGCAATTAAACAAAAATATCTAAGCATTGCTCAGCAACAATGGGTAAGTGAGCCCAGTTGTCACATTTCTAGGTCGATCTGGTCTAACTTGGATAAAAAGCGTACAAATCAGCTGCTCCAACTAAAGAGAGATCTGCTCAGTGCTACGGTATCGGTGCTGATGAGTCATTGTTTAATAGGGAGGCATGCTATGAGACTGGGTCTTCCTTATAATGACCTTTGTCGCGGTTGTGGCTCTGAGGACGAGGAGTAAACTGTGTTTCATCTCATGTGTCAGTGCCCATCTTTAGCCAGAAGAAGATCAAAAATCTTGGGGGCCCCTTTTCTGACCGATCTAACTGATCTGTCATCCTACAATGTGAGGGACCTAGCTAGATTCATAGAACTGTCGGGCTGGTTTTCTTTCACCTAATGGGGGAGTCGTTGCCTCTCTGTTGGGCGTTGGTCGTATACAGATCACCTAATCTATATACGAACATCGCTCTTTCCTTGTGGTACCACAACGGGCCATTATTTGTGCTTAAGTGGGCTTTTTCTTGGTAAACAGGGCCGCCACTCCAACCAACCAACCAAGAGGTCTAGCCAGGAGATTTACATGATTTTGAAGATTTGAAATTGTTTCAGCCTTATTCTCTCGAATTCGACTTTAACCATCGGAATTTTTAAATCGAAATGTCTGTTTTCATTTCTGATATACCAGGGTGTACTAGGTTCGCTTTTGATTAAATAAATTTATACATATATCAAAAATATCAAACATTGAAAGAGACAACAATGTTTACCATTTTTGGTTTTTTGTTTTGAAAATATCTTTAAATGTTTATTTACATGTATTTAAATATGCAATTTCTTTCTTTGTTTTTTATCATTATACACTGAAGATGTTCTCCGAAGTAGACCGAAATATTTGTGATATAATTTTGTATAAAAATTAAAATATAACTAAATATTTAACACAGTGTGACACACACAAGTGTGATTTTTTATTTCATTTAAAAAACATTTTTATAAATTTATGTCTTAAATAAACGATCAAGCCCAGTAATAAATTCGATTGAATATTGGTCGTAATAACAGTTTATTATATATACATATATGTAGGCCTATATAAGCAGTTATATATTATAGTCAAGCAGTAGCAGTGGTTAAGTTAAGCAGTCAAGTAAAAGTCGATCAAGCAGTTTTATAGTCAAGCAGTAATGGAAGTAGTAGTGAAGGCAGCAGTCGGCAGTTACAGAGTACAGTCGTGCATATTAATTGGAGCTTGTCTTTTACATATATAATAACAATAATTAATAAAAAATTTTATTAGTATTAATATATTTACTTAATAACAATATATATGTGTATGCTGTTATATTATTAATGATCGAACATATATCCATAGAATCCAAACTGATATAAAATGATTTAATTTTAATTTTACTGAACTTGTTAATGTTAAGTAGAAGCATTAAAAAACTGTAAGTAATAATTAAATTGAATGTCATAGAATTTCTAAAAGAACTTTAAAAGCAAATTAAAAGTAAAAGCAAATTGAAATTAACAAAAGTTTCGCATCTTTTTTCACTTTGATTTACTTTTGTGTTCCGAAAGTGAAAAGTCACCACAATTGAGATAAAATACTACTAGGAAACAAAAAACTTTGTAGCTTAGTTTGAAGGAAAACTCAATGTAATACCAAAACACCCCCACGTACATTTCTCTACTGTCAAAATCACTTCACCTATCAAATTTCCCTTTTCAATAAATTTTCAATATTTTCGGTGTTTTGTAATTTACTTTTCTTTAGAGTTTTCTTTTTTCTTCTTAACAACTTTTTGCCAAAGAAAAAAGTTTTGATTGATTTTGGTTTAAATTGTTTTTCCTTTTTTTTTTTAAAGAAATTTTTAGTTTTTAAATTGTAAAAAATAATAAGAAATATGGTAAAATCGTAATACTCATAATAATATATATTTACACATAAAAAATATATATAATATATACATAAATATATAAATATATTACACTTATAGTATATGGTATGCATATTATATATATTATGCATGCATATTTATTAATTGTATATATTTTTTATATATACGGAATACAACAGCTACTTTAAGTGTATATAATATAAGCTTCGACTTGTTCATCGCTTCCGCTCAGATGAAAAGAATCGGCCTGTTTGAGCGGAGACTTCTTCGTGATTGCATCAACTATAAGCGCAAGCCTATAGCAAGCACCATATTAACTCTCTATAACAATGCCAAGATCACTCGAGTTGACGAGTATCTTCTGTCACTCGCCCGTATGTATCTCACCCGGCTCCATGACCTCCCCCCCGACGTCTCTACTCCTTTCACCTTACCACAAGATCTCGTTCTAGCATTACGCTAAAAACCCCCCAATACCTGACCCACTACTTTGATGAAGTGGACCATAACCTCTCCACTATCCCCTTATATAACCGCGGCTTTCGTAGCCCAGTCACAAAGTATATTGTTGATCCCACTCCCGCTAGTTAGCCGTAACCCCTCCCCCTTCTATATCACCCATCCTACCTAGTTCATGCCCTTGCTTTTTGATTAAGATGAACCCAGTTCACTAGGTATTGAGTCTATTTTCTCATTCCTCTTTCCCATGATTACTGGAATGAAGTTTCCACATTGATGTGGAAATCTTCTTCTTTCATTCCTAAGAGGTGGTTTTAGTGGGTGTAAGTCTCACACTGTGGCTTTCGCTGCTTTCCACCTACTGCAGACAAAAAAAAAATTCGACTTGTGCTTTAGGTTAAAATATTCAAAACCCGTTTATGTTTTGTCATTTAAACTTGCACGTCATTCATGCCGTATGAGTGATTTATGGATAAGGTATTTTCAATTTTTGCTTATTTTACTTTAATTAATAAACTACAATATTTAAATAATCCTGCATTTTTTAATTTAATTAAAAAATAAGTTTTGTAAATAGTCGTTATAAAATTGTGTGTAGAAAATTAGAGAAAAACATTATTATAATTGTAATATTACAACTAATTTTTATTATGAAAATATTGTTTTAAACCCATCTATTAATTCTTATAGTATATTTCATTTTAAAATCGTTTGTTTAAAAAACTTCCAGCAGTAGTAATTCTATAAAAGAATGAAGACAGGTGGTTTCATTATGCAAATAAAACTCTGTGCAAAATTAGTATATTTAAATATAAAACTTTAATAAAAAAAAATAGATATTTATATATTTTACAGTTACAGAAATACAATAGATAATATCCATAAGTGAACAAGCTGAGTCGGCCAGTTTAAAGATACGAACTAAAAAAACAACCCGCATGGTGAGCGTATATACCGCATTTCATGTTTCATATTGAAATAGATATCCCAAATCAAAATTAAAAGGTGACAAAGGACTTAACTATCTTCACAGACAGATTTATTTTGTTTGTTAACCTACCAATAACCAGCTCTCCAGCTCTCTAGCCTGACGTTTTGTTTTAACCCGGATAAATTTTTGTACAAAATGATTCTGGTCTATAGAATTAAAAAATTAATTGAATTGTTGTAAGATTGTCTATGAACTCATTGCTATTAATTCCAATGTGAACAGGCAATCAGCAAAATACTGTACTTCCCAATTATTGCCTTACAATTTTTTCTCAACCGTCTCTTGAGAAGAGTTTCCTATAGAATGGAATCCTCAAACCTACGGGTTTGCGTATTTCAGTCCTTTGGTAAAGTTGATTTAAGTGTTGTGTATATTTTGAAAGATTTAGGATAACTTGCCTAATTTATTTAGCCATTCGAAATACAATTTTTGTTGATTAACAATTTACTTAAAAAACTGTTCTACTTATTTCTCAATATATATAGTATATATATAGTATATATAGTTTCTTCAATCCACATTTCACTTATTTACTTAAGAAGTTTAATTAACTTATTCGTAATATTCGTTAATATTAATATTAATATATGTTTAGTGATTATATACAAATTTTCCACTGTTTTTAATCTATTTTCTTTTCTAAAACTTTTAATACAATTCTTCTAATTTTTAAACCATTTCGGAACCGTAGCTCCTGCTAACACATTTTTCTCAAGAAACTCACATGCATTTACCTCCAAATTCAGAATCTTTACTGATCTCAAATTTGATATAGACAACTAGCAACAATTCTATTGGCAAGCAAATGTCACGCAGTACAGCCGTTACTACATCTCAAACGACGGTTTACAATACGAAATATCTAGTTTACAACATAAATGCAGATCTTAGCCACTTGGAAGAATGCTTGAATTTAGATAATGATTCAGTGCACTATACTAGTTTCACTAGTTTACTAAGATACACGAAAGCAAAAGGGCAAGATCATTAAAGTTCACGTTAGGAGTCTTGTTTATGATATGGTTTCAGTTGCTCAAAATCTTAGTTCCGAATAGCATCCCCTTAAAGCTAACCGGGGAGAACTTACGTTACATTCAAACTACACTCAATCATTAATGGCATTGTTAATAAAATCACTTCGCATTCATATAATTTAAATTTTTTTTGTATCAGTTATGAAATATAACCTTTAAGAAAAGCTTTTTATTTATATAATTTCACTCTATTATCTCGCTCTTAGCTTATCACTCTATATCTAAGCTAAGCAAACTTTATGCCCATTTTTAAATTTTACATTCAAAAAGTATAAGTAAATAGATTGCATATAAAATTCATGACCTCAAGTCAGAGTCATAGTTCAAAATGTGTTTATTACTAGAATTAAAGATTAATATGAAATATAAGTACTTAACTTTGTTCTAAGCTAAGCTATTAATCACATTTACAATCAAAACGTTTTTACGAATTTTGGTGAAGGACTTATAATTTTGTACATATAAAATTATAGCCTATGAGCTCCTTTTTTCTTGGTTGGTCCGTTTTCGATCTGCCAATTCCTATGTTCAGTCAAACAATCAGTTCCACGGCGCAAATACCTCTCAGCCAATATGGAACACTTTTTAGTTCTGTTAACTTCATGCGCTTCCAAGCGCTTACGTTCCTTCTCCGCAGCAGCATACCGAGCATTGACTTCAGCAACTTGTATAGCGAAATTAGCTTTATTAGTGAGTTTTTCTTGTTTGTACTCCTCGGGTGTACGCTCATTGCCATCAATTGGGAGTTTCCATAATTTATTCAACTCAGCTTCTTTAACCTGTTCCGTGTAGTAACGCAGACGTTTCTGGTTCGTTTGATCTCTGAGGTCCACATAATGTTGAGCTAAGTTCTTGGCTCTGATTTCAGCATTTCGACCAATGTTAAACTTATAGCAAATATCCAGTCGTCTAAGTTCATCGCTTCGATTATTAAATCTTTCTTTCTCCAGTTCAGCCACATTTTGCATAAACTTCTGGTAGTGACGAAATTCTTCATCAACTTTTATTTTATTCTCCCTACGTGCCTGTAGTTCTTTAGCTTCATCAATTTCTAATAACTTCATATCTTCTATAAGTTTAAGATGATCTGCAATCAATTGTTTCTTTTCTGCTTCTTCTGCATCCCTCTTTACCTTAGCCATTTGAACTAGCACCTGGCGATAATCTAATTCTGCTTGTGGTATTGGCGTAAAGGAATTTTTCATGTCCTTCAATTGTTGTCTTCTATGACGCTGTAAGAAGATGGCATGGTCTCTTTCCTTAGCCTTACGCAGTTTTTCTTGATTTTCTAGGAATTCTTCATGTTGAACATCAACTATAGCACGACAAAAACCAGCTAACTCATCCTGAGCATCATATATGCGTTGACGAGTACTATGTTGTGAATTAAGCAATGATTCTTCCAGTTTTTTAAAGTAAATATCTTCTTTTTTCCTTACTTCCTCAGCTTCTTGTTTGTCAAGCATTTGTTTGATCAGGTCATGTTTCGTTTGCATTATTTCTTTTTGACGAAAAGCTTCTCGAATCTCATAGCAGTCATCGATGTTGCGCTGAATTCGTTTCTTGCGCAAAAATTCTTTAGTCTTTACTCTAGTTTCAGCCTTTTTGATATTAAGAGCTTTGTAGCGTTCTATAAACTCGTTATCTATACGAGATCTAGCTATGACATCAAACTCATGCTCAAGTTGTCTTTGTTCCTCATCATACAATATGGCTAATTTTTTGCGACGTTCCAACAATTCCTTGCGATCAACTTTCTCTGCTTTTTTTATAAAACCTCTGATCTGAGTACAAATATTTTTATAATCAGTTCTTACAACAAAATTATGATGCTCCGAATGATGAATCATTTTTATGTTTATTAAATTAATGAGAACAACTTTTCGAACATTAAAAAAAATGTTTCATTATTGAAAAAAAAATTAAGTTATTATTTTGATAATTTACACTTTAAACTCTACTTTTTAAAAAATTATTTTCAAGAATTTACAAAAAAATTTGCAGAAAAATGGATTGCAATATTGATTTATTATGCACTCTGAATGCAGACGATAGTATATTGTTCTATAACAAAAATTATTTCCAATTTTCATAAATCAAATCTAAATTTACACTTAGCGAGTACTTATATAATGACCAACTTGCATTTAGCAAAGTTGTAGTAGTTAGACTCAAATAAATTGAACTTTTGTTATATCAGTGTAATTAAAAAGTTGAACCACAGTAAGTACTACTCTGGTACAATGCAGTACCTTAATATGCATATAGTGCAGATATAATGTATAACTTTTGTTAGATATGAACAAGAAAACAGCAATCCTGACAACTCGATGCTTTTTAAGACAATGGAGTACACTTGATTAACTTTTTTAATCAAGTTTTACTCTAAGTGCGATTTTCATACTGGTATATCTGTATAATATTTGAGATTAATGTATAAAACTCTAGATTAGTTTATATCATTCGAGATTAATTTGTAACAGTCTAGATATTTTGCCAGAGTAGCAAGATTACCTTCAAAGGAACAGCTGTTTTATTTGATTTTAGTTATAAAAAAGTGTGATTTGTTGCCACATGCGCAAATTTGATATGGGGGTTAGTGTTGCACTGATTAAAATATCACTAAGGTTAGGTGGACTTAATAGTACTAGTATTTTGTATCCCAATACCCAATGTAGTCATTATTAAACCTTTTATTACATATGAAATATTTAAGAATAATAAAACAGTTGACAATATCTGGACCCAAATTTGGTGGAGTTGCGATGAGCTAATTATTATTATTATATTATATATATTATATATATTATATACATTAGAGGGTTTTCGAATAGCAAAGAAAGAAAGAAAGAAGAAACACAAAAATGTATGTTTAATTTTATTGAAATTTTGGCTGACCATACAGCGCTATTTCGAGTATATATATTATTATAATGTGTTTGAGATATTCAAAAGAATAGAACAGTTTAGCATATTTGGACTCAACTTTGAACAGATGAAAAGAAGCTTGTTAGCAGCAACACTAGCTATAAAAAAAATTGATGAAAAATGAAAAGATATAGAAGAAATTATGAATAATAATGCGAAAATAACATAATTTGCTATGGGTTGGGTCTTATATAAAATATTTTTAATGTGGAACTAAGAAACATATGAGAGAATACAATAAACTTCCGTGGCTAATTTCGTAGAAAATGTCTTCAATTTCAATAAAAAATAATTGTCCTACGCGTAAATTATTTATTCAAGAAGACGTCCTCCGAGATTTTAAATGTTCGATTCGATTTTGTTTTAATCGTTATACGCCAAGCAAAAATAAATAAATAAATTTGTGCACAATCTTTGTGCACATATTTCACGGCACATACCCTCACGTTTCAACGCTACATTCGGTACTCCTTTTGCGGCATAAAATAAGTCATTAAACACCAACAGAAGAAACAATTTCATTAGCTCTTATTAAATACTTTTTTGCTTGTTCGCCTAATTCTTATTACTTTTACTGTTGCTGCTGCTGCTGTTGTTGTTGTTGTTGTTATAGTTGTCGTTGCTGCTGCAGCAGCTTCCGTAAGATGCCTGCCTTTTCACATTTTTGTTTTTTTTGTTGTTTTCTCAACATTTTTCGAAAATGTCTGCTTGCTCACATAGTCGCACGCACGCATACACAGCAACAAATTTGTAAACCAAACAATATACACACATACACACATACACACCATATGCACGCAGCACATTAGAGGCACAAGTACACAATAAGCATGTGTAACAAAACACTTGACGCTTTGGTGTACTTCAGACAAAAGGCGGCAGAAATTAACAAATAAAAACAAAACGGCGTATTTTGCCTAATGGCCTGTAATGATAGCACTCAAAATGCCGGTAATGGCAACTAATTGTAAGTATGTGAGCACATGCTTGCAACGATGAAGATATTTCTAAGCAAGTTTAGTTGTTGTTATTGTTGTTGCGATGCTTTTTATTCTTATTTCATTTGTTGTTTTATTCCATGAAGAATTTCACTTCTTTTGTTTCTTCTTTTTTGTGTTTTTTTTTTTTTGTTTTTTTTTTGTTTGCTGTTCTGCTGATTTGGTGCTTTGCCATTTTGCTACTTTGCTGCCGAAAACATTTAAGCAAATGTTGCATTTAAGGGCGTTGGCGTATGTTTTGCTTAAGTGCTGCCTCGTTGCATACTTAAGCGAAGAAGTTGTTTGTATTTAATATTAAATAGTAGCAGCAGCAGCAGCAACAGCAGCAGCAGCAGAACTTATGAATTGTGGGTTGCTTTAATTAAAAATTACACATACGTCACGTATGCCGGCTTAAGTATTTCAATTAAAAATGGTCTTTGCACGTATTTTTGCTTTATGCGCGCATTTGTTGCAAACTGTGAAGTTCATGTGCTGCTCATAAGGCATAAGGCCTCATTTTGCTCACAACGTAAATGCAATTAAACAAAAAGGTTTAAACTTTACGTAACTGGGAGTAACTTGAGGGCATTAAAAGTTTCTTAAAAAGGTACTGATTGGGCTATAGAACGCTTTTAAGAAAAGCACAATATTTAGAAACATTTATATACATTTCATTGATTTTATATAGGTGTTAGTAAGAAAAGTGTTCAGAACTCATAGTTTTAATGTAAATCGAATAAATATTATTCGTACTTCTTCAATTGTTATTAATGTCATTTTAACTTTTCATAATAAACCTTGAAAAGCAGTTGCAATATGGACATTTTTTCTTATTTCCTACAAAATAGGTTTTAATAAACAAGAGCATGTGCAGAAATTGGTAAAAAGGAGAAAGTGAATGAGCAATATAGGTGCCATAAGTACATCACTACCGCGATCGTGTCACCCATTTGGTTTCATGTACCAATGTACACAATCTCTTGAATCCAATAGATCTTTGGACTCGACCCAAAATAGGTTTTATTAAGCAAGGGCATGTGCATAAAATGGTTAAAAGGAAAAAGTGAATGAGCAATATATGTGCCATAAGTATAGCACTACCCCCATTGTGTCACCCATTTGTTTTCATGAACCAATGTACATATAATCTTGAGTCCAATAGATCTTTGGACTCAACCAATTAAAGTAAATAAGTCTCTCCGTTTTTACCCTGGTTGACTGCAATGTAAGTCTTGTTCATCTCCAACGCATTATTACTCATTACTAAGTACTGACTTACTAATTACTAAACAAAATCGTCCTATCTACCCATATTCAAGCCCATATATACATATTTGTAGTTTCTTACATTTTATCAGCTTGATAAATTTTTACGGGCTACAACAACAATGACCAAAATATCAAGAAACAATTTGTGTAATTATACAAAAAAAAAAAACAAAGACACCACTAAAATAATAAATAAAAATTTATATATTGTCTTCATGTATAACCTTTACGCGTTTAAAATGTTATCCATTTTATGGTATACTTTATATGCAGCAGCACTTAGTCTTTTTCAGTAGAAAGATCTTATGATTCAATCTAGATATTCATATGTTGACAATAATCCAATTTTAACAAAGTTTTTGGATATTATAAAGCAGACAGTATCAAAAAACGATTCGTTGATAGTTTCTTGATTTGATTGTCACTAAGATAGCCGTATATTGTTTGAAAATAGAACATCTTTAAATAACGCATATTTTTTAATTTATTATATATTAATTAATTAAATTTTTAACTGACCATATAATATTTTCGTGTATTTTAGAAATATTTCTTGTACTTTATTAAGGCTTATTAAGGCTTAAACTCGTGTCCTGCCAAATTTAAAGCTCAGAGTCAGTGTTGATTATCCGACTGCCCCAAACCCTTACTTGACTTATATGTTCTAACTTGCAGTTTTGGTAATTTACTGTGAAAGTTTTATTAACAAATTCACTTACTATGCTATGTTAGAAGAAATTCATAAACTAGTTATAAACTAATTTAATTAAATAATTATAATTGTTTTTAATTGTTTAATTTCAATTTAATTCTTTTTTGTAGGGGCATTATTTTTTAATAATAATATTTTTAATGATCTTAATGATATTTCATAAAGGAGAGCAAGTACCAAAAATATTTAAAGCAGAGCTAATTTCTTGAAAATTTCATTGAAGTTTTCAAGAAAAAAATTTGATTTTTTTTTAATTTCATTGAAACCCTTTTATTCTATTTATGCGAATAGACTATAAGTCTACGAATGACTGATGCTATGACTGATGCTTGATAAGACGACTATAACATTGATGAGGTTGTTTTGGTTATTGAGGCAGTCCATGTTAAAGCTTCAATAATTGTTATAGGAAGCATTGAAGTTACTTTGTTTTTAACCCAATACTGTATTCGTTTTAAACCTATGATTTACAACTTACTTTTCACATAGTTTTTGTTGTTTTACACAAGGATTAGTTGTTAGTTATTTTAAAGTAAGATACACTATTGTGAAAAAAAGAAAATCACCACACATTCATTTCTATTGGAATGAATTTTACGGCTGATGTCTTTAAAGTGAAAGTTGCTTTTCAAAACATTCGGAACAAACAAGGATGCATGTTACACACATACATTGTGAACTGAACCATGTTACTGTTGTTTGCAGTGAAAGCACGATTAACCACAAGAAGTTATAGTTGCTTAGAAGACGACATCAAGTACAAAATTTCAATGAAACCACAATCTTAAATCATCAATTTTGCTGTAATTAATACGAATTGCGAGTTCAATGTGAACTTGAGTCAAAAACTTAAGTCTATTAATGAGTTTGCCTAAACATATCAAGCAGACTGTGTTACGTTCTCGTCTCTAATAAAATGCGACGATAACCATTTACTAAGGTGTGTTTATGCCATTGGTGT